AGAATTATATAAGAAAAATAATGTTCCAGGTCTTAGTTGAATATAAATACTTAATTAACTGAGACTTAACTATACAGTGTGTCAATATTTAAACATATTTAATTGGATTTTCCGCAAAAGCTAGAATAAACTCATCGATAAGCATACAGCGTATAGATAAAACGGTCTGTTTGCGCCTTGCATGCATGCCTTACTATATATATGCATGTGGACTAGATGACGATTTAATGTTAACCCATTTAGTGACAGCGCTCTCCCCTTGACAAGTAAAATCGTCTGCCATTAGACAGAGTAAGTGGGCCGCATTGTCTCTTTTACTCATTATACTTAATCATAGGAAGACGTAGTATAAATCATAGCTACTTTGGGACATACCTTAACATAATTGGTGATAATTTACCGAACTGTCTTATTTCAAACTTTCTGTCCTAAAAGAAAACATTTTGAGTTATGTATTTTAGCTTACAGCACATTTGAGCTGTAGTGTACTATACTAAGTATAGTCAATGTACATGTTGCACCTAGCTTCATTTTACAAATTACTAAACATACCTTGTTTGAATAGAAATGCGGAAGAATCTTCACGTCAGCCTCTTTGAGAATCTACCAGAATCCCCCGTCCACTCTCTCCTACCAGTCTTAAACTGGATTTTTATTTCAGCAATTTTCCCCTGCATGCACTTCCACCTCCAGTAACAAAAACATGTATCGGATCTACTTGAGAAGGTTTATAGAGGTTTGCCATTTTATTTCTACACCAAGAAAGAATAACGTCACATGCATAACGTTGTTTGTTGTTCAATGATCTTACAGTTTTTCGTAGATCGTTGTCACTGATTTCTAAGGGTTGATTATAACAACTTATTCCAGAAGATGGTTAATTAAAGTGATTCAGGATTTGACGCAAGATGTTGTGGCAATAGGTCGCTAAAATAATTTGTTTCATCAGAATCGTCAGGTGAACTTTGTCGCAAATCTTCATTTTCCTGGTTATTTATTGGGTCCTTTCTTTATAGTGGATATAAATATAGGCATGAATTGATGTTTGGAAGAATATCTGAATTTTAAAAATATTGCCACACACAAAAAAGTAACTGATGACCGTCGAACAACTTCGAGACATCACGTAGTCGTACTTTAATTGTACGATATTTTATATTTCTGCCTTCACTCTTCGGCTTTTATTTGTATTTTATTCCAAACTAGTCTGGTATTACAAAATTCTACAACATTGAAATAATAAATGAAACGAATACTTACAACAACGTCCATTTTGTAAACAGGAATCCAAACTTTACAGCTAATACCTTCCGTTTCTTTCAAAATACCCGACACTGACACCCGCCATCTTTTCAAAATAACGAAAAACACGTCACGCGTCACGCGCCCACGGTCTTAAATAGTAAGGGACTTGAAGTAAGCTGTGACGAACTATTTCAGCTTCTGTGAATGCTTTCCTACCTTGACATATTATTTACTTACTATTTAGCTAGAACCCCATACTGTACACATCAAAATTACGTAATGTCTCTTGTGATTGTAATTTTGTTTGATAATTAATTTGCTTGATAATTAAGACGAGAATGTCTTGTATGTTACGACGTAACACTCGCTCAAAACTAATGAACATACTTTCCCATCTGCTTATGACTATATATTCCAATATTTAATTAAATTTTGTATACGTTTCTCAAGCGGCAAAACAAATTTAAAGGTACAGTTCACTGAGTTCAGCCTTTTGAATGATGGTTTTAAGCCGCATTTCAGCCCTTTTAATTGAAAAAACTTATTAGGGACCGGTCATTATTTATGGAAGGTGGGATGGAAAAAATGGGGGGGGGAGCATATGTATAAATAAATGACTAGAAAGAGGGGCTATTAAATTTTTCAAGAAAATGAGGAGAGGCGGGGGGGGGGTTGCAATTAAATTTGCGGGAACTTTCTTAATTAATAAGCATGGTATCCATTTGGTTGTAATTGCGGCTAAATCATGGTCACTGGTGTGAAATAGTCTGGATTTATCTTGTCTTCTGTGTGCTGTATGCAAATCAGTCTTTACTGATTGGAGAGATAAATTGACAATGTATTATTACATCATACATCAGCTATCTTGATGTGGTTAAATACATTTAAGCAAGGTTAACGGCGAATGTACTATGCAGGCCACATCCACTGATGAGAGTCTGTGACGTCATATCGATTAAAGGGGGTTGTTTCGCGCCTTGTGATCAGTGCTTGGGTCTGGGTATTCATACTGCCATTGTATGCTTTGCCTAGCTGCAGCAAGTTTAGCGCTTAGATACCTTTCCCCTACGCACCCCACCCACCCATGTTTATTCTAGAGGATTTTATCTGGTAGTAGGTCACTTTATTTTATATAATTTTTAATCTCACATAAAATAGGATGTATAGACAACTATACATTATATTTTGTTTCCACTGACTTGTCAGTGTGACTGGTGCCGGAGGTATGCCTTGGCAGAATTTCCAGAATTGTCATGGCTATCTCCTTTTGCTGCTAATATTACTGATTGTTACTCTCATTGCTATGCAGCTGCTATGACGATACTTTGTGCCACCAAATCTAGTTACAGCCTTGGATCACAAACGGCACCTGTCTCCAAACACTAATATTAATTCTCTGCCGTTAAACATGGTTACAATCGCCCAGATCAAATGAAAACCTGATTTTAGAGTTAGATATGAAAATACCCCTCTTTTATTTATAATTTTCTGCTAATATATATTTTTGGTCGACGTTAATATCTTGTCAGCTCCATATTCTTATTTAATTAATAATTAAATAACATTATAACGCCTGGGTATCCCTATTTGTCGAGTAAAAATGAAAATGGGGTGGGGGGTCAAAGAAAAATATTCTAATGTGTAGAGGGGGGTCATCATTAAATTTCTACTCTTTGAAGGGGGAGCTTTCAGTTTTTAAAAATTTAGGAAAGAAAAAATCCCCCCCCCCCCTTCCATAAATAATCAATTAAGCATAATTTAAGATTAGCAAACTTAGTGTTTCTGATATTTTAAAGCATTTTTACTGTAAAAAAATATTGAGTTTACTGATCTTAAATTATGCATAATTGATTTTCCTAGTTAGTTTTTTTTTTAATTAAAAGGACTGAAATGAGCCTTAAAAACCATCATTCAAAGGGCTGAACTGTGAAAGAAAGAGTATGTTCATTGTAAAATTATGCTAAAATGAGGATGTTCTAAATGGTATACACCGGTACCCAAACATTTTGCCGAAAGACACGTTGCCGAAAGATATTTTGGCGAAAGACATTTTGCCGAACGGACATTTTACCGACAGACATTTTGCCGAACGGACGTTTTGCCGAACGGACGTTTTGCCGAACGGACATTTTGCCGAACGGACAGTTTGCCGAAAGGTCAACTTATAGAGATGTTATTTCGTCAAAATGTTTGGCACTGTGACTATTTCCCAACTGTGTAATTCTCAACCATTGTGTAAAATAATCATTATATGGTCATTAGCAGTACATAATGGTCGTCAGCAGTGCATAACCATATTGACTATTAGTAGCTTGTTTAATTTGTGCAGCGGAGCACTCATTTGTTAGGAACGTGTTTTGACATAAGGTCGTAAACAAACAAGCGTATATGAAGACAACGACGTAAGCGAATTTCACTTCGAGAATTATGAAATATATTCACAGTTCTCAGGGAAATCGCATTCACAGTCATGAATGATATTGCATGATGTTATTCTTTATATCGCGAAATTTCGGTGAACTTGTCAAAAATGTGAAAGAATATGTCTGTAAGAAAGTTTCTGTCAATCGACAATGACTTTAATGACAGAAACTTTGACCGTATGTTGCGAACCTTTAAAGTTTAGAAGATATCTCTATTTTCGGCAAGATGTCCTTTCGGCAAACTGTCGATCCGTTCGGCAAAATGTACGTTCGGCAAATTATGTCTGAAGTTCATTAAGTTTTGCTTATATTGCTGTAAAAATATGACGTCAATTTTACAGCATCATAATAATTGTATTTACATTGACAATATTTAACTATTATTTTGTGTTTCTTAACCGCTAGATACATTTAAAACTGTGTAAACCGGCTACAAAATAAAGCTAAAACAAAGTCATTTTGAACGGAACGCCAAAACGATTTCATGTTTTGAACACTTTTCATCGTAAATACGCAGCATTGAAAAAAATTGTTTCTTAATATACTCTTGTCCTAATGATGAGATTGACGTAATTCTTTGAGACTCTTCCCCCTGCCTGTATGTTTTAGGACCCTGCCTTTTCAAGGACTCTAAAACTTACGACCCTATTTTCATAGGCGTACGAGACAGGGCGGGAAACTGTACCCCCTCAAAAGTTTGCAAAGTTTTGGAATTTCGGGCAAATGCTAGGAATTAAAAATCCGCCATAAAAATTCGGGCAGACTTTCAACATCCTCCCTCCCCCAAAAAGCATCAGCTCCGTACGCCTCCCTTGTTTTCCACCTCTCCTCCCCCACCCTGCTAATTTCTGGCAAGTACGCAGGGGCGTAGGAACCGGGGAGGCCAGGGGGGCCATGCCCCCCCCAAGTTTTGGCAAGTGCCCTTTTTCCAGGAGCAAAGTGCCCTTTTTGTGCCTGAAAAATTTTCATTAAATTTGCATTTTTTGTCCAAACCAAACTTTTGAAAACTTCAATCTATATTTTTTCCCGAAAAATGTTTAGTTTCAGAGAAAAATATCATATATTGGTTTGTCCGGAAATTTTTTTTATATTTAAGAAGAAATATGTTATGTCCGGAAAATTTTTTGGCCCCTAAAATGGTACACTGACCGAAATTTTTTTGGCGACGGGGGGGGGGTCGCCAAAATTTTGAGATGCCCTTTTTTTTAAAGTGCCCTTCAAAGCCTGCCGCCCCCCCAACTTTTCTAAGCTTCCTACGCCCCTGCAAGTACATAATAATAATATTATATATAAATTACAATTATTATAAAATATATATTATAAATTATAACTATTGTATTTACAGTGCAATAAAATCAATTCATTTCCTGGTATTTCGAAATATTTTCCCATGACCAGGCACAATAAAATCTGCTTTGCCAAGGATCATTTCACGGTTCGACATCTGCTTCTTCGGGTTTTCACTAAACTGCTTCCACAAATCATCTCGCTCGAGGTCCTCTTCTTTTTCAAATAAATCTCCCGTGATAGCTACCACTCCATAACGCGTGTTCTTTACAATCACGCTTACGTCACTGTTGGTATGGCCAGGCGTTGGAATTACCTCCACTTCTGAAAAGTATGATTTTCAAGCCAATTTCTAGTGTCAACTGCGCATCAAAATGTGCAAATCCTATGTCCCGTACAGACGAGCAAGTTTACCTTGACGAATTTTATTTGCACGGGTGTTTATAGCAAAAAAATGATATTTTTTTCTCATCAAGGAGCCTTAATTGTTCAAAAGCTGTTCATGCAAGCTTTTGGACAAGGAAAAGTTGTTCGTTTGTACGGTCCGGCAAGGAAAACCTGACAAATGTACAAGAAATCCTTTTCCAAAAATAAATACAGCCTTGGCGTGAAATAAATGTTAAATAAAAATTCCGTGAAAACGAGCAACGAAACTTGTCAAGGGAAACTTGTCATGAGAAAACTTGTTTAACAACATTTTGTTCACACGAAAAATTAAATTTGTCAGGAAACTTTTGATGGAAACTTTTCAAGGAAAAAGGCTTCCCCAGAACTCAAAAGGGGCTTCACTGTGTACGATAATTAGTCTTCCTCGCGGGCAAAATTAAGGAATTTGAAAAATAAAGAATTAAGACATTTGCACTGTATTTCTTTGTTTGCACTGCATGTATTTCATTTTCTGGCTCTGTATTTCGAAAAAAAAATGCACTGCTCTTGGCCTAACAGAATTGAGAATTTTTTGTCATATATACTATTATTAAAGTTATAATTGACATATTCCAGAGCGCAAAATAACGGCCGGTCAACGGACAATGTCCGGCCAGAATGCGGAGTTGTCCGGTCAAATTCTTACCTTGCCGGTCATTTTGACCGCTCACTTGACTCACTTTCGGCAAAAGAACAAACTAATCTTCACTTTAATTAATAATCAAAATAAAGTAACATGTTGTCGAATATTTTGCGGGAAAAGAACATCAATGTACGCAAGCTTTCCCACGCAGTACGTCACAAAGCCCTTGGCCATATGCTTTTGGCTTAAGAGTTAAGGCCGTGATTTTAGCGCAGTGCAAGCTGTTTTATGTGAAGGAGCTTTTAATTACTGATTACCATAAGGCTTTATATTGTGCTATACTGTAGAAATAGTCACATTTTTAGGGGTATACTTTACTAGGCTTTGCTTTAAGCTGAATAATTTGACCGGCCAGAAATTCGGTATGTCCGAGCTAAAATTGAGTTGGCCAGTCACCTCGACCGGCGACACTACAGCCGTTATTTCGCGCCCTGTTATTCTTACCATCATCAATTTTGTAAGATAGTCCGTCTTTAAAAGGATAAACAGTATACTCGTCTTTCATTGACACGTAGTAGGACATAATAAATGTCGCATCCGAGAACAAGTTTAAATTTCCCACGTGATTAGAGTGACCGTGAGTACAAACCACATAATCAATGGAGATTGGCAACATGCCACCTTTCTTGTCCAATGCACTAGATAATAATATAATCTGCCGTAATGTTTGCAAACGAGCTTTAGTATTTTAACACAAGTGAATATAACAAATCCTGCAAATTGATTAGTCAAATTTGACGTATTAAACTGTTATGTTCACCTACAGGTGAATATAGCAAAACCGAAATTTTCAAAATGGCGGCTAGCCGCTTCGTGGAAGTGACTGATAAAGACATAAGCGAAATTAAAATAAATTCAGTCCAAGAAAACTGAATTATTTGTCTCAGGCTCGGTGGTTATTGGGGAATATTCACCTCGACTTCGTCTCGGCGAATATTCCCTGGTAATCCCCTCGCCTTGGGCGAATATAATTGCTAATTTTATGTGAATGATAGTTATATTTGGTCAATTGCCGTATGTTTAGGTATCTCACCTTACGTTGTTTTGATTGCTTAATTTTCTTTTACGTATTGCCGTTGCAGCTTTTAGCTTTACTTTAAAAGCAATGTTTTGTGTGGTTGATGTTATTTTCCAGCAGGATCTGTTCCTATTTCAGTCTGATTAATCACCCTCATAGCAGATTTTGCTAAAGTTTAGGTTTTCCTAGTTAAAACCAACTGTGCTGTGCTGTGCTTGACTTGTATATTTTTACAAGAACGAAGGAGAAATTCAGTTATTCAGATTAATGAATCAAAAAGGATGGCAATCAGGGACGTAGCCAGGGGAAGAGTCGTGGGAGCCGCGGCTCCCCCCTTTGGAAATATTTATCGCTAAATATATGTACTTACTTCAACATTAATTAAAGTAAAATTGATTCTCGACACAGTAACATGCCTCAAAATCAAAGTAGAATATCCAAGAGTTTGTCAAAGATCAGTGTGTCGAGATAACCAAGATGTTTTAGATGTTGACGATTCTACTCACGGACTTGATTATTTCCGCGTAGCAGTGTATATCCCATTTTGGATACAATTCTTGAGCAATTGCGATTTCGATTTAATGAGAAAACGACGTTTGCTGGGTTGCTTGAGTCGCTGTTTCCAACTAACTGTGCAAAGTATGGTGCAGTGGAAGAAGTGGAAGAAGAGTTCATGCAGCTTTATGGAAACTATTCACATTTTCTTCATGCTTACAATGTTATGCCTCACGATACTAGTGGCATGAATGCCTTCTTAGTGCAGTGCCCATTGTGGGTTGCTAAATGGAAAAGAGAATATTCCAGTTCAACTGATTCATCAACTGATCACATAGAATTTGCGATCCCAATGTTTTTCCAAGGATTTACGTCCTTTTAACTATTGCCAGCATCTTGCCCATATCAACAGCAACCATTGAGCGCAGTTTTCGTCTCTACGGCTTCTCAAGACATATTAGTGCGTAATCGAACAACTGAAGGTCGTTTGAATTCTTTGGCCATAATGTACATCTACGATACCGAACCAATTGATGTAGACCGAGTAATCGAACGTTTTGCCAGTATGAAAAATCGACGTTTGTTGTTATGATTTAATCGACTTAACTCGGACTTCAGTGGTTATATTACCCTGGGTGCCACAGCCTCCTGTGATAGAAGTGAAGACACGACGAGGAGGCCCTGGTCACACGAGCATCCAGCCTCACTTTGGTGAGTTCAATGTTTGAACTCTGTTTGTGATTGGTCTAAATTTATGTGAATCTTTTCATCGGTTAACCGACGCTCATCGGTTAACCAATGAAGAGGCTCACATAAACTTAGAAAAATCACAAACAGAGTTCAAATATGGAACTCACCAAAGTGAGGCTGGAAGCTCGTGTGACCAGAGCCGAGCCTCTGGCACCCAGGTTATGGTTACATAACAATATAACTTACATTATATCACATTTGAAATTTACTGTCTACGTGCAGTACATTAAGTCTTGCACAATTGGGTTCAGTTTTCTTTATACTACGCCTATGGCTATACGTTTGTGGATAGCCAAACAATGGTGTTTTGTGTTTCACTGTCTAACCCTCGAAAAGCTAAATAACGTATAGCATGCAATTCTTATTTTTGATAGCTACAATTCTGAAATTTGTAGTTGGTCCAGGGATGAATTTACTGTGTCGAGGGGATGGAAGGTGCAATGGAGTCCCAACTTAGGGATCGGTCATTAATTACAGGGGAGGTCGGGGAAAAGGGCTAGTGGAAATAAAAAATTAGATGCTAAAATTTTGTTGGCCTCTCCTTAAAGATAACACAATTATACTTTAACCCCCTGATGCAAATAACAAAAGGAACATTCGTAATTTAAAGTTGTTATAAAGTGAAGCCACATTTGATTATACTACCCTATCATAGTTGCTAACTTTAGAAAAAAAAACATCCGTGAGATTTTGTTTTGGAGGGCCCACGAGGCGCCGAGTGGAGAATTTTTGAAAATATGGAGTCTCGTTGGAAATGGCATTTTCAGAATCTTCTATACCTCATACACAACTTTTTGGCAGCTTTTATTTAGATATACAAAACCATATTGTTGAATACCTATGAGTACGAGGTTGCATGAAGTGATGTTTTGATTATCTATTTTTGGCTTAATGGTGTTAATTTTTTCAGAAAAAAAAAGTTTTATGTAATTTGGCGCAAATGAAGTCACTCTTATTAGTGATAATGTGCAACGAAGCCAACATATGTAAGAACCAGTTAGGTTATTTTCTAAATCAGTGACAATTCGTGAGATATTACCAAGCTGTGAGCTCACCGTGAGGTTTTAGTAAAATCTGTGATGCTCATGGTAGATCTGTGAGAGTGGCACTATGCCCTATATACATGTATCGTAATTTATATATTCAGTATATTCTTTACCATTTATTGAGTCAACAGCTGTTCCAATGTACGTGTTTATGTTGAAATCATTTTAATAATTGGTGTTTCTACTGCTCCCTATTTTTATCAGTAGGTTTTTTGGTACAACGGGGTCATACGGGGCAGGTATTTATTATATATATTGTACAAAAATTTTGCCCCCCCCCCTTTTTCATGCACAAAAATATATGACCTCCCCTCTTTTACTACCAGCCAACCTCCCCTGTAATTAATGACCGTTCCCTTAAATTAGAGTTGCGATACTGAATAGGTTAATATCTATAGTCGTGTTTACACTACCAGCCTTGACCTAGCCTTGGCTTGGCTTTCGCCTACATTTTGACAGTGTAAACAGACTTTGGCCTAGCCTTGGCCTGACCTAGGCCAGGAAATCTGGGCCTACTACAACCGGTGGCCTAGGTCTGGTCTAGGCCTAGGCTTGTGGAAATGTAAACACTTTTGGCCCTGGCTTAGGCTTTATTTTTATGCCAACGTGTGTCCATTGTGAGAGATTAGCGGATAACCAGCGGACAACGTCACACCACGTAAAAATACATAACATTAATTACAAAATTCTAGGTCAATGTGAGCCAATCTCAAAAAAATAGTGTAATGGTGTAAACGCGCCACATCTACCTTGGCCTGACCTTGGGCAGGCCAAGGCTGTTTAGTGTAAACACGACTTATTACTGATTACATTTACCTTAAAAGTTTCTCTTTCTCAGATGGATTTCCAGTGTCAACTATGACATTGTTCGGTCCTTTAACCAGAGTGCTTGAACCAGTAGCACGCTGTTTCCCTGGTCCTTGATTCTCTGAATAACCTTCGATTAACGGTATTATTTCATACGGATACTGGGCTTCCTGGCATGCATCATGTGGGATAACTTGATCGTCTGCGGATTAAAACAAATGAGACAATTATGGTTCAAAGCGCTGAGCGCAATATTTGAATGAATGAATGAATTTATTAATTGACATTCCTTAAAATGGCTTTTCAATGACAATTTACATAAATTTTAAAAGAAATTATGAATATCGACTATATTTACAACAATCTTATCATTAATGATTAATTAATACAAGTTATTACGTGAACTAAAATTGTATATATTATAGTTTATGAGTTAAAAAGTTAAAAAGAGTCTTAAGTTTTGTTTTAAAACACAGAGAGCCCATCCCTGGTCTTCTTGAAGTTATGTATTAGAATTACGTATGAAATATATATAGCTCAGTGTTGAAGCTTACAATTTGCGGGCTGTGTGCGGGCTAACGCGCGCGTTGAATACATAATAAAGAAAATAATACTTAAAATAGTTCAAATTACTAATTGATATCAGCTCTGTATCTAGACCATTCCATATTTTCGTCCCTCGGTATTTAAATGATGTTTGACCGATCAATGTCCTAAATTTTGGAATATCCATGCAGGACTCTATTTCTACTAGTATCTCGGTTTTGAATTCTGTTTCGTTGTTCAAAATTGTCATATTAAATACTGTGGAGCTTTGTTATTCATGTATTTAAATGTTAATAATGCATCTCTGTACAGGAGCTAGGTGTTCTTCGATTCACAACCATCCTAACGCGTTTAATGTCGGAGATACATGATCATACTTAGGCACCTGTGATTAATCGGGATGCGCAATTTTGGATTAAAGGACATTAGCAACTAAAATTTATTGCTTCATCTGAAAGAGCATGAAAATATAAGCCGGTTGGCCGTGTAATGCTCTGTTCTATCTCATCTAGTTCCGAAGTTATACGCAAAAATGTGCAAAATATAAATTGCTGATTCAGCACAACGTGTGACGTCATTAGTTGGGTAAGTATGTTTATTGAATAGTAAACTGAAGCATAGCTCAGTTATTATGGCCCCAAATCAAATGAAATTTTGCATACTGATTGTACATGATGAGACGCATTGAAAAACGCTTCTAATTTTGTTGCCAAGGTAACAATGTCGTTCCCAGGCCCCTTGCGCCAATTTTATAAAACAGCTTTATTCATGTTTCTGATAAGGTTAAAATAATATCAGAAGTATGTGTACCATACCTATGCATGCCAAAAGTTTACTTGCATGATAATAATTCGAAAATGACATACACATAGATAAATGCAACTAGTTATTCAAAATTAGTGTATAAGGGGCCTACAATCAGGAGCAAAAATTATTGAGACAAACGCATAAATTCCCCCTCTCCCTCACCCCCTATTCAATGTTGTGTGGATGGCTGAAAAAAGAAAATTCAACCCGCTTTTTCCAACATTGATCATGGGGGGAGGGGGGAGGCCGACGTACTTGAAAATGGCCAAAAACGTGAAAAGTCTCATTATTTTTGCTCCTGATTGTAGGAACGACTGTGTTGCCAATTTTCAAGAGTTTCAAATGCTTCCTGAGACAAACTCTTACTCTTTCCCAAGGGAAAAGACGTTATTTATATTAAGTGTAGACTTTCTTAGTCTAGGAAGTGAAAACCTCAACAATGACACCATACAATTTTGAATATCTGCACCCTAATGTGAATGTTAGGTTAATCTGGCCATAGGAACCAATTCATAACACGAAATCAATTAATCTTAACGAATTCTTTGCATCATGCAGGATTTTTGCACACTTGAATCCTAAAGATCTCATTCAAAACTGACATTCTGAAGTCTGGACAGTATGACAGAGGAAGTAAACAATCGACTAAACAAATAGTACCACTTAACTACAGTGCTCCCAATAATAATTTGAACTTGCCTTCCGAGCATTGAACAGCCCATCCGCGATTCTCACGTCGACTTGTAGGGCCAATTACAGAACATCTAGAAGAACCTTTGTTATGACAGTGTTCTGCTTGTCCGGCCATCGCGAAGACCCCACTCCATAAAGCTGCGTTGCTGTTTTCATATCATTTACTAAACAATCTACAAAATTTTTCTTCATTGATTGTTTTAGATGCCGAACAAAATTTTCCACATCATGTTGATTCGTCGTTTCTATTTTTGTATTAGCCTAGTCCCTCAAGTTTCTCCGAAGCAAATTCTCATTTTCTTAGAATCTTAGCATGTTCGTGGAACACAGATAGTAGTTTGTTTCTTGGAGGAATAATTCTCTTGAAGCAACAAACTTCAAATTGCAGAACACACAGCATTTGTATAATGGCAATGTTTTGATTTATTTTGACGCAAAATATACACCGCAATATTGTTTGGATTGACATTGGATACGTATCAAACCCACAGCCAGTCACTACTCACTTGAATGCGCTTTTGGAATTTCCCCTTGTATCAAGGATATGTCCAAGGAAATCATTCAATTAAGCAGGTATTTTCTTTAATCGGACATTTTTGTTCGGTCCGAAAGGTGTACGTCTTTTAAATGACTCATTAAATTTATTGGCTTTATTATTTTGCTCTGTTATGACGCCAGACGATTTTATTCGTCAAGCCAAGAGGAGAGCGCTGGCGCTTAATGGGCAAAAATAATTATAAATAGAGGGTTAACTGTGTAGACAGTAAAATGTCTGAAGCTAAAAATATTTGTGGCAAGTTTAATTCTAGTACGCCTTCAGCCCTACTATGTATGACAACGGTATGAAGTGTACAGTGGAGAAATTATTTTATCAATGTTTATCGCTTGAATAACTTTATTTATGCCTGCTCAACTTGTGTTTGAGTTGTACCAACTCCTGACTTGCAACCAATCCCTTAAGAATTGAAAAACAATAAAACAGCGGCCATGTTGGTGCTACATTTAATAAAGATAATGAGACTCTTATGCAGATATAGCTACCACCAAAATGCATGGCCGTCGTTGGTAGCCATCCAAGTATTTGAAAGTCAAGAATTGAAACAATATCACCTATTTAACAAATCTACACTTCATTAAATTCATGGAGGATTGCACACTTGCATGCCTAAATTTTGTCTTGCACACCCGAGATCTGATCGAAAACTGCTGTTCTTTGCAAACTGGACTGTATTACGACCGAAGTAAATGACTAAAAAAATAGGTAATAAAAATACAGTAGCTTATGAAGCTGGATAACATTTTGAACTTGCCTTCCGAACATTGAATACATCCACGATTCTCACGTTGACTTGTAGAGCCAACACAACGTCGAGAGGCTTCATTTTCGCTGTGTTCTGCCGGTTCAGCCATCACGAAGACCCCATTTGATGAAACATTGAAGCTGTGTTGCTGTTCTCATATCATTTACCAAATAGTCCACACATAGTCGAAATCCTTCTTTTAATCTGCTAACACCGAACAAAATCGCCGAGTCATGCTGTATATTTTGTTTTTGCTATCTTAGCACGTGGGTGGAAACAGAGATTGACTCTGTCGGGAGTAATTGGGTTCTTGGAAAAATATTAAATCTTCTTCAAACAATGTCAATGAATTTAAAATTATAATATGATACTTTTTGTTTATGGAAACACCACGTACATTTATTAGCCCGGATCTTCATGAATTTAAAATTGCAAAATACACAGCATTTCACGGCGATGTTTTATAATACTATTTTACGCTAAATATACACCACAGATATACACCGCTATTAAAATATATTAATTGACATTGGACACTTGTACACACCCAAGTCACGAGAGAGTATTCACTTCCGCTTCGGGGTTTCCCCTACAAAGTAACAAGTACCATTCTTCTCCAGCCCATGACTAGACAATTCAGACCTTTGCTTTAGCCCCTTATATTTTGTTATTGCATTGGCGTTGTATTTGCGAAATCATTGTCATATTATAGAAATAATAATGAAAAAACCTTTACGTAACTAAGTCAAAAACTCAATAACGAAAGCGTGTCTCTTTGGACAACGTGTTGTACTAAGTTCGTAGTTTCATTCCGGAAGAATTTTACCGGGGCTTCTGGTTGGGGTTTTCCCAATACAAAATTACAGTTGCCACGCAAGCATTGTGCAACTAAATTCGTCCCGCCAATCTAAAAGGATGCTAATTTTTGCAATTTCTGACATAGCGTCATCTGTGAGTGTGCATGGCTCGCGTTTATTGCCGTAGATGTCTTTCATTGGGATTCATTTGTTCGTTGCTTCTTGTGTATGTTAGGCTGTTAGCTTAAAGAAAACGTCCTTAAAGGAATCAAACGTTGAATTTGCTCGCAATCACTCTACCTATTGACGAATACCTGACGTGGTTAGAAATAATTTTGCAAGTTGAAGAAAAAATTGCGTCATGTAAAATGGCCTTTACAAAATTAGTCACCGTTCGATTATCTTTGTAGACTCTCCCTTCGTTACCCTTGATGATTACCGTGTCTTACTTCGCTCAAAAAAAATGAGTAAAATTTGCTGATATATTTCAGTAATTTTTCTCAAGTTTTAAGTCAAAATTTCGCAGTGATGATATAGTATTTCAAAAGCCTATTTGTGTGACCTTGACTGGTAATATTGTCATGGAGAATTTTTATCAGGCTTGTGTCCAAATCCTGTCTTTGTTACTACTACTACTAAAATTCGTTGCCTGCCTATTGCATGATGAAACATACTTGGCATAAAACTCAATATTTAATTAATAAGAGCCAGAAAAAAGAGTTTAATAAAAGTCCCTTCTCGGAGTTTACACGAAATTCACTCTACTTTATACCATTTATTTCACATTCAGTTTCATATTATGGCTATATTCAGTAAAATGTTCCTGGGGGTACCGTTAGTCTTCTGACTGGCAAACCTACTATTGCTTATATGTTATACTTATAAAATGTGCAGTGATAAAAAAATCATAAAATAGGTATGCTTTTCACAATATAAATCCTCCTTATAAAAAATTCCCCTCCCCCGCATAAAATTTTTGAGAACATCCTGTTTACCACGTTGTATGAAAGACGCAATGGCCTTCTTGTCTTAATGATTTTGCACGTGATTTTAGCTCTGTATATAAATGTGATGACATCATCGACAGCAGGAATTAGCGTGGGTGCGGATGTTAGAGCGATATCAGAGATTGGCAGTGCCAGAGTGTTACGCCAAGTCGAATAGTGTAAGTATTTATGGTTATATGTCCGGTTCAGGTTTGAGAGATTTAGTGAAAAGCAGATCACATTAATAAAAGTCGCATTTTTTTAAAGAGCAATTTCAACGGTAGAACTTTAACAACTGCAAATTATAAATCCTTTACTCAAATCAAGAGCTCTTTAAAAGAATCCAACAGTTTATTAATGGAACGCATTCACTGACTGAGTGAGTCTGACTCTCTCAAGCCAGAAACCCATTTCAGCAACATATTACAGTACTGCTCTCCCATTTTTAAAGAAAGTAAAAAGCAAAATTTTTAGGTAACATTTCACAGAATCAGGAGGTCCAGGAGGACGAAAAAGTGCAAAGTGCACTATACCAATATATTGCACACAGGGCCGGAGCTACGGGGGGTGTGGGGGGGGTGTGACACCCCCCCAGTAATTGTATTCAGTCGGCAGAACTGCTATTCAGTCGGTAGGACTGCTATTGAGTCGGTAGAACTGCTATTTGGGTTAAATATTTTTGGCGCAAAGGGCAAGAACGTGGTGGGAATTTTAGGAAAATTTTGATGAAAAATGTAAAAATTTCGGAAAAATGTAAAAAAATGTTGAAAATTTGTTATGTTCGGAAAATTTTTGAATGTTCCGGAAAATTTTTGTATGTCCGGAAAAATTTTTGGACCCCTAAAATGGTACACTGACCGAAATTTTTTTGGCGACGGGGGGGGGAGGTCGACCAAAAATTTCTGATCCGGAAAAATTTTTTTGAACCAGTCGGTTGAATTGACCTTATTAACACCTCCCCTGAAGAATTTCCTGAGGACGGCCCTGATTGCACAATCTGTGCATAATACTGTGGCGGCGCCACGGGGAGGACTGGGGAGGACACGTCCCCCCAGTTCTCTTCAAGGTCAATTTTATAATTTGTCCAAATCCGGTGAGAAAAATGGGAGGGCCCACGTTTGTAACATCTGTCCAGTTATGTGAATAAAAACTTTTGACAAAAGACCGTTTCATATATGCGGTATTTACCATTAGCATGTTGCAGGCGCTAATTACGACCGCCGAAGGAAACCCATCATAATGAGTTAATATATTTAAAGATAAAATTATGTTGACTTCAATTTTCCTTGAAGTAGCAACTCCTTTAGGCAGCTGTCTATCAATGTAATCATAGTCAATAGAATAAGGTTAGGAAACTCGATGCAGATATAATAGCATATGCACCCGCCATACTAACGTCGACGTCATTATCTATGTTTTTGTCTTGGTTTATGCAAACAAATTGTCGGTTCATCGTCACGTGTGTATTGTCACTATTTCGCTAGAGTAACCAATAGCTAAATATGTTTTTGTTTAGCCATTGTGTAATATTACGACTGGGTAATTAAGAGGCTGTCTCCCTAAAAACCGACCACTCATATTTTACGTAAAAAGTAAACCCACCTAAAACTTTATGACCAGGAAGGTTTGGGCTTTTAATTACCTGAATCGGTTTTATTTTTCCCAAATATTTTATTTTTATCCAGATATAGCGATCAATAGTCCCAGGGATCTCGGAAGCAAAATGGCGGCCGTCTAAACACGACATTTATACTAAATTCGGTTGCCGCATACGCGGAACTCTGACTTCCAATCTCAATTCTGTTTGGATATTTTTTAACAACAAGTGGTTGAAATTTATCGTTAATACTAACATCCTTGATTTCATGTATTATTTATTCAAAACTTTGCACAACGTAACCACGTCTGATCCGCCTTGTCTGTTCGGCCAACACACCACGTCGAGTAGAATTTGATATTCCCGAATCTGGATTGAAATTTCCACAATTAACTACCATAGTTGTGTTATATAATAATTAGTTAAATAATATAATATGTTATTTCGTGTGGATCTGTTTGCGTTTCTTCAACAGAATGCTGTCAATATCCATTAAATTCGGCTTAATTCACAAACGGAAATCATTGGCACTGCCAACTGTTCAAGTACTGTTGGCCAGAATAATTTGCTAAACACTTACGAAAGCACATGTATTGTGCTTTAAAAAAGCAATGTTAAATAGTTTCAAAACTAAAAACTACTTGAAACTTCTGGGAAATCATAAATATAGAAAATATCTTGATTCTAGCGCATTGCCAACAACAAAAGACGACAGGTCACGCACAGAGTTGACCATTTCTTTTAATGTTTTACGTGTTCTACATTGCAAAAAAAATGTGAACTGTTATATTGAGGCTTTATATATGATCATATCAATTCTGATTTAAAAACCTTATTTCCACAGCAACCTTACAAATCTTGTAATCAACCTTACAAACCGAAAATGATGTAATCAAGTTACCACGTTTCTCCCAGCCCTACACACAACCCGATACGCGCACGCGCACACTTTGCTTCATTCTATATTCTGGCGCCAGTTGTCATCAAAAGCCGGTTGTTCTAACCCTGGGTCCAAATAGAACTTTCCAACAGCTTGTTTATAAAATTAAATAGGTTTTCCAGAAATCTTTTTTGGATCAGTAGATGTTTTTTTTTCAAACTTTTGAAATGAACGGTCTTACAGAAATACCCTCAAAACAGCGGGTTAAAACTTAACCCATGCTGGGTCAGTGCTAATCGAGCTTTGAACAACCGGCCCATGGACTATGTTTGTTGCAATTTTATTATACTACCATTTAAACAATCGACTTCAACGTACAGTATTATAGAACATAAATATGAAAATCAGGAGGATGAGCAGTCACAGTCTCTTACTTATATTCATCGCTTATATACATTTTACACATATCGCTCAATAGGCGAATGAAGGTTTAGTTGAAGTCAACTGAAATTCAAACAGTTCCCAACCCGACACTTAGAAGGGTCTGGAGAAAATATTTCACCCTCCCTGCTAATGAAAAATGTACAAGAAATTTTTGCACAGAAGAAATTTTACTTAATTAGAATGACCTACGCGGCAATCCTGTGCAAGGGCAATATACCAATTTTATTTTGCAAATAACTTTTAAAGAACAGGATTAATTTGGAAAGTTCTTACGTGATCCAACAGGAACATGGACTTGGTATAACTGTTGTATATTTTTGCACATGTCTACTCCAATCATATCGCGCGTTTTTAGTGCCGTTCGCTTGCCATTGTGTTTATAGTCTAGGACCTGTATATGAGTTTGTATGCGTTTCATTTAGCACAGGTAATCTCAACTGTTTTAGGGTAAAATGACCATGGCGGTCAACATGGCATATGTGCCAAAGGCTGAATCCGGGACGAAAGTCCTGAAAATGACCCCGCCCTGAAACGGCAGTGTCGACATAGCTCTAACTTCAGAAAACAAAAAGCGATAGTCTTTCTGAAGTGCTTATAGTGTTTGGAAGGGTTGCTTTTAGGGGTGGTCATTGGAAGAAAAATTTTTCCAAGTATAATATTTTACAAGAAAATGACCATGCACCACCCCAGGTAAATTGCTGATTATGCATAAAATAACTAATATGCCTGGCAGAAATTAAATATTCTTATTTCCTAAAAAAAAATATCATGGGGTTAAAAACTATGCTTAATTTAATGTAAATATTGTTGATTTCATAAGGATTGTCATTGTTTTCTTTAAATATAATAAATTTTATTTCACTTACCCCCCACGAAAACGCGATTTCAGCCATATTTTGCTGTCTTGTTTGCTTTTTTATCGCCGAATCACGCAAATATCATCCAGTTATTGTACTTTTACATAATCATAAATGGCTGAAAAAGATTTCAAAGAAAGTTTCATCCACTTTTGAAACAGTGCAGTGTATTTTATCTTCGATGTGTCCTTCAATATCTCGTCAAATTGCCGCCATTTTAATGGCTCGCCGCTTATCTGCCCGATAAATGCCACTTCTTCGTTTTCATATGTATTTAGATTACATTATCCAAGAGTACTTCATTGTAGAATAGTCCCAATCCAAAAATTGGAAATATTATTTGTACTTGGGAGGAAAAACCTCCCAGTACAATTGTCCTGTTAGAATTCAAAAGTATTAATTTAAAAGTCACGCGCAAGTTCGCGAGAACACCTCGTGGGTTACATAACAGGGGGGGTGAATATTTTCACGAAACGTTTGTTCGCCACCACAGGCCACAGCAACCTAAGTTAGGTACATTATATTTATTGTATATTTGTGATTTTTGATAAAAACAATAAATATTTGTGTATATTTATCATCAATTATAAAAATACAAAAAATATAATACATTTAGTTACTAGTTAGGTTGCTGTGGTGGCGAACAAACGTTTCGTGAAAATATTCACCCCCCCTGTTATGTAACCCACGTGGTGTTTTCGCGAACTTGCGCGTGACTTTTAAATTATTTCTTTTGAATTCTAACAGGACAATTGTACTGGGAGGTTTTTTCCTCCCAAGTACAAATAATATTTCCAATTTTTGGATTGGGACTATTCTACAATGAAGTACTCTTGGATAATGTAATCTAAATACATATGAAAACGAAGAAGTGGCATTTATCGGGCAGAGAAGCGGCGAGCCATTAAAATGGCGGCAATTTGACGAGATATCGAAGGACACATTATCGAAGATAAAATACACTGCACTGTTTCAAAAGTGGATGAAACCTTCTTTGAAATCTTCTTCAGCCATTTATGATTATGTAAAAGTACAATAACTGGATGATATTTGCGTGATTCGGCGATAAAAAGCAAACAAGACAAGCAAAATATGGCTGAAATCGCGTTTTCGTGGGGGGTAAGTGAAATAAAATTTATTATATTTAAAGAAAACAATGACAATCCTTATGAAATCAACAATATTTATATTAAATTAAGCATAGTTTTTAACCCCACGATAATTTTTTTTAGGAAATAAGAATATTTAATTTCTGCCTGGCATATTAGTTATTTTATGCATAATCAGCAATTTACCTGGGGTGGTGCATGGTCATTTTCTTGTAAAATATTATACTTGGACAAATTTTTCTTCCAATGACCACCCCTAAAAGCAACCCTTCCAAACACTATAAGCACTTCAGAAAGACTATCGCTTTTTGTTTGCTGAAGTTAGAGCTATGTCGACACTGCCGTTTCAGGGCGGGGTCATTTTCAGGACTTTCGTCCCGGATTCAGCTTTTGGCACATATGCCATGTTGACCGCCATGGTCATTTTACCCTAAACCAGTTGAGATTACCTGTGCTAAATGAAACGCATACAAACTCATATACAGGTCCTAGACTAAATGGAAAATACGGCCATTTACGCTCTGTATTCATCCATATTTTGGATTTTGTCGGTTTTTGTGTTATCTTTTATGAAATATGTCACCGCCTGGCGCTTGAAAGCTTTTTACACCTACTTGATATAATTTGCATGGCTGGAGGTCTGTTTTACACCTTGAAGTGGAGCCATTATTTATCAACGCAAAGAAAATAAAGGTCGAATGCACACTTATACAAAGTCAAAGTACAGTATACAGTAGCTCTCAAGCTATGGCACAGCGAAAGGAAACTCCAAAGATTATTTACCCGAAATCCGCTTTGTTTTCGGAATGCAAGTGTCGCCTTTGTGGTAGTATATTATCGACAAGTAGTATTGCAACAACCTATTCTTAGAACTAGCTGAATAGCGAAATAAAAACCTGCTTCGTATCGCAGAATTTGTGAATTGTGGAACTCGTGCGTGTGATGACGGATGATGGATTTTCTTATCTTCCTAAATTAACATTAAATTAAAAGAATGGGGGCCAAAAAAACACCCAAGACAGTGAAGCCAATCGAATGTGTAATATTAAAGTATACCGACTGGAGGAATATCGATCTGCAGAAAAGTAGTATAGGAACTGAGGTTTCTAGACCATTCCCAATTTTTCTAGACCACTAGTTTTTTATCTTTATTTAAAAGAATTTATTTTTATTATATTAAAATTAATGATTGGTACATTTATTAGAATGTGAAACTGCTATTCTTATTTTTCATTTAACTTATCTCAGCTGAGACTCTAGTACGATTATCCTACACTTTCCCAATATCGTCCAACCTTCCTATTCCAAAGCCTTTTCAACATCTTTTATTTCCTCCTTGGGGGTACACAAGGCAGGGGGCCCTTCCTGCTTATTTACCCTTTAGGATTATTACTTTCTACTCTGTGGGAACTTCTCAGTCACTATTTTTTATATTCTTGTTACCATGAGCATAACTGGTAACTCCATCCTCCAAAAGATACCTTTTATCATCAAAACAGCTAAGAGTAACCTTCTTCAATTCGTAAGTTCCAATTGTATGCTTTACGCTTCTGATTGTATTTATATTATGTCCCATCCTACCTTTCGTATTAATTACATTCTTAAAGTTCTCGTGAGTGAGCTTGTTTCTGATAACATACTTTTTAACTCCTTTAGCAGTCATTCCACCTCCACCGTTTTCCTTTACATAGGAATACATTTTTGACCTCAACCCAACAAACTCAATTATAGGTACTCCTTCAGCTTCATCCTTAAACTTACCTATAACCTTCTTGTTGTGAGTTGAGTAGTATGGAGAATCTTTTGGGTAATCCGAATTATCCCAACAGTCTTGCTTTTCACCGATTCTCTTAAAGTCCTCATAAACATCATCCGTTTTCAGTTCATACATTAGACTGTCAGTATCGGTGAACAGTAACCTTGAACTATTACCGTACTCCTTCTTGATGGTGTTGTAGTGAAAGTCATACATTAAAGTCTTAGATAAGTCTAAGATGCTCATTCCTACGTAACACGGTTTATTTAGCGTTAGAACTTCTTTCATTTGCTTTACCACTATAAGATTCTCATTCATAATTCGATGTGACTGGAAGCACGGTGATGCTGTCAGTTTTAGGAGGTCGTCTTTGGAGGACACTAATTTCACATCAACTCTTTTCCTAAGATTTTCCATAGTCTTTCCGTAAATCGAATTATTCATCAACTTGAAGAAGTTCTTTTCGAACGTATTACGGGCTGCAGACCTTTTCTTCGTATTAAAGTCTATATAGTCCTTAAGCCAGGGAGACTGCTTGAACGTAACCGCTCTATGGACTTTCGTGAGTTTCATCCCAAGGTCTGTGTACAGTTTCAGATTACGTACATGTAAGACGTACTTCTTTCTGGGACCAAGTGAAGTCACTAGGTTTCTTACTCCTCCAATTGTCAGTTGGAATTTCTCAGCAATACTCTTCGCATAATCTGACAACATAGAAGCACTGATTTCCTTACTCTCCGGTGCTAGAGGATAACCGTTATGTAGATCGTGAAGTTCTTGTGGATATTCCAGGTCAACCTCTAAAACCATACTTCTTTCGCTGTCCTCAAGGTAATCATCTAGATTCATACCGTCGAATTCCTCAACCCACTTGAACTCTCCATTTGGGAGTGATTGTGACATTGCCCAGCCATATAAATTATTAGCATCGAGGTACATCAAGTACTTGTTCTCAGACGACTCATCATACGTCTCCATGTACTTATTATTAGCTGTGGAGTGTCTATGAGCAATATAACTTGTACCACCTCTCATACCCTTCTCGAAGAACTGAAACATATCCATATCACTTACAAGTTCTATTTCTTCACCTGACTTTTTCAGGAAAGCGTCCCAACTTAGACCAGGTGCTGACATGTAATGTGCGGGGTCAAGTTCATAACTTTCCAGACATGTTCTCCTGAAGTTTTCAAACACATCAGCCAGCAAAAGAACGTCAGTCTCCAGGTAGAGATCGTGGTAGTCTCTCAGGGTTTTCATCTTAAAGTGATCCCACACTTTTTGAGCTCTTTGGTAATCTTCTTCCTTCACCTCTGACTCATACAGTGATGAGTAGAACTTATCCTTACTCGGTAGACCTTCAGTATCAAGCTTGCTAATGTTATCGAGGAACTCATAAGGGAACACTCCTTTTTGTGTCACTAGATTGAAGTCCTTACCCTTCCACCTCTTACCTACTATCCTGAAGTCCTCAGGTGAAAGGTTACTCACCAATGCTTCCAGTGAAGAAGCCATAAACTGTATAGAGTCTATGAAGACCAGATTTTACCTAGTGAGAATGAAATATATTTTTCCATATTATTTGGGATAACATTAACATTCATATTGAACTTACCAATTTCCTGCATAATTAGATGACTATCGTAACCTCTCAGATTATGGAAGACCACAGGCACTTTCCATGAAATTCTGTACTTTAGGTTGCATATATTATGAGCAGCTCCACGATACAGTCCAGTTACATGATCATGGTCTCTTACTCTATCCTCACCAAGATCGTTACCACATATTGAGCAGTTTCTTGCAGCCTGGAATTCGAATTCCTGTTCAGGTGTAATTACCATCTTTTTCTTGAATATATTGTTAACCATTTCTCTACATCTGAAGGACTCTATTAATACAGTCTTTAGGAAGACCAGTGCAGCATCCTCTCCAACGTAACTCTTATACTCACCGGAGTACTTATCATCATAGTGGCAGACAGTCTTCAAACCAAAACTACAAGCCTTGTGTGTCTGGTAAAGGTCTGTACTACTTTTATCCTCAGGGTTTTCTGACTCCACTTTTCTCTCCTCTGGTACTAGTATTGACTCAAAATCAGCGTATATCACAAACGGTACTGGCATTGAGTTCCTGTGATTTTTGAACTTGATTTTTGTCCCTTCCTTTGGAAGATTTACGGCCTGAGTTCCATTTACCTCCAGACATGTTTCCTTATGCTTCTCCAGTACCTCTTTGCTCACACAACTATGAAGACAGTGTAGACAGAAGTGCTTCTTATTTGTATGTTTACTTACGCTGAAGAGCATCCTGTTTACATCCTTTATGAGAACGTAATGTCTACTACCTTCACTATCACCCAGGAGTAGAAGCTCCATATGCTCATCATGTTTAGCCTTTGAGTTCCTTATGGGGTAGAACTGTTTCTTACCCTTGTAACCGAACACCGATATGTTGATACTATTTTTCCTCTCAATTTTATCGATGTCACTTATCTTCACGGGGAAGTCTATACCTTCGTAGTCCAGGTTCGTTATGAATTCCCTATCTTTCTGTGTGATAGTGGTTGCTCTCCTGGCTTTTGGTCTCAGATGTCTTACATGACTCCACACAAAACACAGGTTGTCGTTGTTCTTCATATTGATGAGCCCGCACTTTGGATTACTAATGTCCCCTGGAAGTTTCATATATGAACTACCCCTTAATGGTTTATACATTGCAATGTTTACGTAATGACTCTCAATATTGAGTATAATCCAGTTTGAACCTAAGTTTTGGAAGGTTTCAATTCTAGACAATATTGTCAGTTGGTTTTGAGCAGCAGTACTTTCAATATCCTCGAAGTTAGTTGCAGTACCAGTCTTAGATTTGAAGTAGACTGAGTCCTTCTTGGTTTTCCCGTCACCAATTTCCTTTGACATTCTCACCTTCAGAGTCTCTGTGTACTTCAACCCACCCATTCTCTTCAACTCGTTCACAAGTATTCCTCTCACTACCTGTCTACTTGCAGTCATCTGGTCCAGAGGGTCCATATAATGAGGAGTTATCGAGTAAGTCACAGCGGCTCCATTTGCGGCTGTTTCGATTTTCCTGTGGAATGGCTTTTCAAGGTCTGTTCCAAATGGATCGATTTCATATTCACTTGGTGTGATCACTGGTGGTTGTTTCTTAACTTCCTTTGACACTCTTACAGGCTTACGTAACTTAGGGGGAGACACTACTTTGATGGTTCTAGGCTTAGGAACTGGTCTTTCTCTAGGAAGCTTAGTCCTCGGTTTCGGTACAGGTCTTTCCCTAGGAAGTACCGTTCTGGGCTTAGGTATCGGTCTCCATGGAGCTACACCCTTGGGTACCTCAGGAGCTTTCCTCACAGGTCTCTTATTAAGATCCACGTGAATTGTAAACTTACCAGGACCTGTTGGGGTTATGACACTATCAGCAGGCACTGAGAGTTTTACCTTCCTCTGGCTCAGGAATCTTTCTGCTACAGTTTGCCTTTTAACCTTAGCATCAGACTTTGCCTTTGGTGGTCTACCTCTCTTTTTAGGAACCTTCACTTCATAGTCAGTCTTTACCTTTTGTGGTCTACCTCTCCTTCCAGGAATCTTCGCTTCAGCATCGGACTTTGCCTTTGGAGGTCTTCCTCTCTTTTTGGGAACCTTAACTTCGGAGTCAGTTTTTGCCTTCGGTGGTCTACCTCTGGGACGCTTTATCTTAGGATTCCTTTTATTTTCAATCCTCTTGATTTCCTCGTTTACTTGAGGATCATCCGTGCGCCATCTGCCTCCCATTGTTGGTGGTAATCCCTGAACGCCCTTTGATAGTAAACTTTGGTATGCCTCCTCTACAAGTAGGGCCTTTGCTTTTTGCCTGTCAGAGTACTTCCACGTTGGCATAATTCCTCTTCTACCCTTATAGTTTAAAGGAAGACGTCTTGGTTTCTTTACCTCCATATCACGGTCAACTTCATCTACGAATTGTCTTTCTCCTTCAAAGGGATCTTTGCCCTTATCATCAGGTGCAATCCTGTAGTTTTTGTCAGCCATGATGTCCTCTACTCTTTCATCGATCTCGTTGTCACTATCTATGATACTATTGAGAGCCATAAGCTGTTCTACGCTGAATTTGTTCATATCAAAATAACTCGCCATATTTTTCTGTCAGTTCCTCTATACTATATATGTAAAAATAAATTCGGGTATTTAATTAATAATTTATTTCGAATTTATTTTTAATTTAATTTATTGTTTAATTCTATTAATTTATTATATTAATATTTCTTTAAGTGTTTTTATTTTTTATTTAATTCAATTAATTTATTATATTAATATTTCTTTAAGTGATTTTATTTTTGTTTGGTTATATTTATTATATTAATATTTCTTTAAGTGTTTTTATTTTTGATTTAATTCTATTGATTTATTATATTAATATTTCTTTAAGTGTTTTTACTTTTCCAGTTATTATAATATTTACAATTCTCAGGTTTCCATCCAAGCTCAACAAAAACTTTCCCATACAACCTATCCTCAAGGATGTCCACAATCCTTTGAGTCTTAATATCCTCGGGAGGGTTCTTCAGGGAAATACCATTCATGCTGGCTATCCTCAGTAGGTAAAACTTATATCTAACTATGTTGCGCCCCCGCTGCAGTCTAAGTCTTTGTATACATCTTACGATGCTTCTAAACTGCTCCCTTATTATGTCCCTATCCCTGGAAGCAACATGTTCGAATAAGTGCCTCTCAAACCAACGGACTCTATTATGACAAGACTTCTTTTTCAGATAGTCGTCCTTGTTGTAGTTGTAACTAACGTAGTATGAGAAGTTATTCATATTACTAGTACCACACTGTGTGCATGTATCTGCTCCATCTATCATTACAATAGACTTACTCCCACATTCGCTACATATTGGATCATATGTGTGTTTTCTCTTTATTCTTCTTTCCACGTACTTTCTTACTGATACCTCTAGCTCTTCTATGGTGTTTAGTTTCCTGCCTACTAGTACTACTTCCCCTGGTGTCACTGTTTGAAGCCAGTCCATTTCCCTATACTATTAGTGTGAAAATTTTCTGCTGATTTTCGGGGTGTATTTAAGCGTCTTCTTATTATTCTTAGTTCCACATACTTTTTAACTGCAGCCTCTAACTCTTCTATTGTGTCTACCCTTTTTCCCAGGGCTACTACTTCCTCAGGTGTTACCATTTGAAGCCAATCCATTCTTCTATACTATTAGTGCAAAAATTTTTTATGGCATTTTCTATAGAATTAAATAAGCTGCCCCTCCAACCACCCCACCTGTAATTAAACCAAATATTGCCATATATTCTTCCATCTCAGAGCTAGGTTTGTAGTGATTACTCAATTGCGGCTTCCCTGGCATAGGCTTACGTGTTAACTCATTGATTCTTCTGACTAGTTCCAGTGACTGGTTCGTTGACTTAATATCCCTATTTGCATCAGCTAGTTCTGACTTTAGCTGAGCAATTCTGTTTCTCCTATCAGTGACCTCTTCGAGGTACTTTTCTCTTTCAGCTGTTAGATTCTCCATTGCTTTGTTATGTCTATGAGCTTCCTCAGCGTATCCATTCTTGTCAAACATCTTAAATAAGTATCCTGCTCCCGCAAATGCAAATGCGTTAAAGAGTCCTCCCGCTACTGCTCCCGCCATTGTATAGTTTTACCTAGGTTTTGAATGGATCATCTGGTAGATACTTCTTTTCTTTCAAGTAAGAGACCAGTAGAGATGAAAGACTAACTGAAATAGCTAACTTCGCCATTCCTTTTACATTCTCTGGGGTCCCTAATGGTTCTTTTAATAGTTTCTTTGATGCCATTGATATACCAACTGCTCCTGCTGTAAGTAACACTGCGTCGTACACTTCCCTAGTCATCTTTGATTCTTTGCTCATCTTGTTATAATATATGGTATGTTTAGTGTATCATTCAAGTGAATCTAACTTGGACTCATCAGCTTTCTTAGTTACTTCTACAGTTTTAGGGATGAACTCAGGTTCTGGTTCCCTAGTTTCCCTCTGATGTGTTTTATATGCTAGCACAAGAGATATCAATGCAATGACCACTCCTATGTAGGTAATCATACTGTCATTACTAGGCGACTCGTTAGGTTCAGCCAGTTTCTTTTTCCTCTCCTTTGCTATTTTACTGATTGCAGCTAGTCGTTTCCCTGCAGCTACTCTTTTTGGGTCCTTCTTCTTTTCACTTGTTACTGGTACTTGAATTTGCTCAGGTTTATCTTCCATTCTACTTGTAAGATACCTTAGGTTTAACAGGGTTTCATCTTATGAGATAACTTAAATCTACTGGTGAGATAACTTGGATCTACTGGTGAGATAACTTAAATCTACTGGTGAGATAACTTATGGTGAGATAACTCTACTTGGCAGTAGACTAGTACTTGTGTGATGTGAACTTTTGTTTGTACAGCTTTACATCGCTAACTACATTCTTTACCCTTACTGTTTTAACTTTTTTCTTAAGTGAGAAGTACTCGTTAATTTTGATACAAATTTGAATCAAGTCGTCGGATATCACTGTCATGTATCCTATTTCCCTCAGTTTCTTAAGCCATAGGATTTGCTTCTCGCTTGTAGTCCCAGTGCCCTTAGGAGACTTAAGTTCAATTGTAAGTCCTATGTACTTCCCCATAGGGTTCTCTATAATAAGATCTGGCTGACCACCTTTATAGCCCTTCTTCCAAGCATCACATCTCTTTGACACCGTATCCTGATACTCGCCAAGACCGGGTACTATTACAGCCTCAGGGTGGTTGTTCCTAATGTAGCTCACAACTGTATGATGAAGGTCCGTTTCATTTATGAGGATCATTTGGTTATATCTGAGTGACCTTCTATCAGGTAATTCATATGAGCCTGTTTTTCGGATAGATGGAAGGACTTCATTGAATACCCAGCTATGAAAGGCCTCTACTATTGGAAGCCTTGAGCCAAATATTAGTTGGTACAAACCAGGTTCTCTCAGGAAAACACAGTTAGGTTGACTGCTAAAAGTGGGACCCACGAGGGGTCCTACTTTTAACTCCCCAAGGGTTACCTTATTTTGCTTCCATACGTGGGTTTGAACAGCTTTTTTCGTGTTTGAGTACCCTAAGGATTCCGCCACATCTTTTGCATAAAACAGTATCTCCTCACCGCTCTTAATGGTTCTCACACTAACATTCAACTTTTGGTTCCTAAATAGTTTCTCCATCTTCCCTATACTATATATGTAAAAATTTTTTAGGCTATTTTATCTGTCAATTTTTGGTTTAATTCAGAAGCAGCATTCCCCTAGCCCACCCAGCTGCTTCTCATAGTTGTATACTTCCTATTACAAAAAATGATTTTTCATTTAGATTCTTGTATATCTTTACAACTGTTTTTATTGTGTCAATTTTAAAAGCTTCAAAATCATATTGTAGTGGACCTACTATTTTATTCTTGAGGGCATCATGATCTCTCTCTAGTGAATCCAGGGTTGCCTGAATCTTGTCTAGCTGTTCCTTGTTCCTGTCAGTTTTCTCAATCAACTCGTCAATAATTGATTCGAATTCTGTTCCGTCCCAGTCGTATCGCGACATTCTGTATGTAATATCATATGTTTAGCTTCCTCGGACACTTCCCCAGGTTCCTCCTTCTTATTCCACTTATAGGCAACTACATGTTTAGCTGTTGTGCAACCACCTGATTAGACTTTCGCAAAGTCCCTCGCCTTTAATACGTCCTTATTTATGCGAATGAATTTTTGAAAGTAATATGATATGCGCGGCGCAGCGGGAGAGGAGGCGAGGGACTTTTCAAACTTGCAGCGCGCCATATTTTTCCGACCCCAAAACAGGTCGGTAACACTGATCTATATACAATACGTGTTCGTATTGTTGATTAACTCTTGAACCAATCAGAGTAACGTGATAAAACAACATGTCAATCAAAGTGCCTATAGTGTGAAATATAACAACATGTCAATCAAAGTGCCTATAGTGTGAAATATTAAATTTCATCTCATAAATAAACTGGCCAGCATCCAGAAATCAAATAGACAGGAAATACATATAAATCGATACGACTGTCGTAGTACACACAGAATTAAAAAGTATTATTAAATGGAGAAGTCAATTTCACAAGCGATCGAAAATGCTAGGCTGGGTACTCGAAATTGAAAGAATATCAACGGCAGACAATTGAAGCCTATTTATCTGGTAGAGATGTGTTCGTGTCAGCGCCAACTGGAGCCGGGAAAAGCGTGACTTTTGAGTTAGCTCCACATCGTGTCAATCAATAGCTAAATTTATTCGACAGTTTTGGCGCGAAATGCAAATGGAAATCCTGCAAGTTTGACAAGTCGACCTCCCTCGCGCTCGCGACTTCGTCGCTCGCGCTCGCTCGCTCGCGTTCGTTCTTTTCTCGCGCGTGTCCCTGGAGGTCGACTTGGAGCAAGTCTACCACCTGATATGAGACCTATAAATGGAATGTTGGGGGATATCGTTCTGGTTAGATATGCTACGTCGTCCTTTAGAAGCTTGTCACTGAGTAGTTCCTCTGACAGCTTCTCTGAAGATTCCACCGCACCGAAACTCCCCAGTATAGAAGCAAACTTTGAAATAATAAGTGTTGATAAGAAGCCACTTGCACATGACATCCTTTGACTTTCATACTCTTGGTATAGTCTATCTACAACATCCTTGTTAGACTTTCTTATAAAACTTGCGGACTTCTCTATTACACCGTCCCTCGATAGCTCTATAAGTTTGTCCCTTTTGCTTTTTTCTTGCTTTTTTCTGCGGCACCTTTGCGGCCTCCTCTACTTCTCTTACAGCTTCAAATATTTCTTCCTCAGATTCAGTTCCCATCTTATATATTTTACGCGGTGTTTAGTTTAACAGTGTATGTGTAGGGGTGAATAAGTAGTACATCCAGTGCGGTGAACTTCTCATCTTTTAATATCTTCGTAATCTCTGTAATTGTCTCCTGAGGAACACCACTTAGGTAATCATCTGTTATAACCTTCATATCCCTGCGACTAGGGTTGTAGAATGTGACTAGCCTGGAAATGTTTTCTCGAAATGGTTTTGCTACTGATGACAGTTGTTGTGTGAGTACAATGACAGATAGGTTGTAATGTCTTGCGAAGAATGCTAAGCGCACCAGTTCTGAGACTCTTTTCTTTACATCTTGACTTGCCGCACAATCGTCCACTATAATGAGAGTCTGAGTACCGCGGAATATGGTGGACACTGCCTTGAGAATAAGATCGATCATTTCTTGTGAGCATGGAATTTGTATAACTCCGTGGTCACTAATATGACTCCAATTAATGTAAGTCATATTCCACTCTATGGTTGGACATATAATAACAATATAGTCGAAAACTCTACTGTACTCTGTTTCTAACATATTAAGTAGGAACTGAGTCTTTCCACTTCCAGTCATTCCTACTATGAGCATGTTGAATGGTTGCATCTCTATGCTTTACCGTTAGTATTGAATACTTGATAGATCTCTATTGGCAAAGTTTAGGAGAGCATCTGATACAACAAAAATGTTGCACTGAACGTCAGCTGTTGTGGCTCTCTTTTTGATTTCCAGGAGTACTCCCGACTGTGTGTTAACAATCTTCTTACCTCCACCAGTGGTATCATCTTGTGTTGACCTAAGATCTATTACTAGAGCAAAACCATTGCTGAAGAACTTACTGATGGACATAAACTCGTCTGCCATTGATTTCTCACACATAGGGCAGAAGAATCTTTTTGCCTCTTCGAAGAACCTATTTTTATGAAGTCCTTAGGAGAAAACTGCATTAGGTACACCTTCAATGATCAGGTTCACTTTATCAATGTTTGGGTAAATATACTCTTCACTATCAGTTCTTACTCTGTTGGTAAATAGAAGGACAATTGCTGACATGCTCTTCCTGGGGATATTAATGTTTTCATTAACAATGGTAAGATCTTTGTCCCAATTACTTGTACGCATATGAGTGACGTGTTTGTAGGACAGTGAGCGACCCGTTGAATACATCCTTGATACTTCACTTGCAAGGGTGTCATTCTCAATAGTCTCGTATTCTAACTCAAGATTATCAAGTTTATAATTACCCTTAGCTTCACCTCCTTGGGCAGTCATAATCTCATCTGATTGGGGGAGTGTGAGGATGTACATAGGATTGTTATTCATGAAGAACGGTGTGTAGAGTCCATGGTCTGCAATTATTTTATCAATTGGTTTCCTTAGCTTAGAACCGTACACACTATGGAGAAGTCCATCTGCTACTTTATTGACATCACCAACTCTTGCTCCTGAATCGTCTCCTGAGATTAGCTTCCTAAGATTCTCACTTGCAAGACCCTGTTCTGTCATCTTATTTCTGTCACCTAGTGTTAGCCATAGATCTTTGTATATTTCGTACAAACTCTCTCCTGAACAGTCATAAGCTGTTTCACCTGCTACTTTAATCTGAAGACGTTTAGCTATCAACTTAGACAGGTTGTTATTAAATCGGCTTTTTGTATTGGAATTTTTGAAGTCAAATAATAGTGCAAGTGATCCTGGAACTAAACAGGAGTCGGGTTTTAGCTTGGGGATCTTAATATACAGCTCTTCACCTGGGCTAATAGTTGTTGGATTAAATGTTACAACACTTCTAGTTCTGGGACCTTTTACGGATGTCATACGACTCCTCCTGAAGCCAGGTTGGAGTTTTCTTTCTGTGGTATTCATACTTGTATACAATATGTAATATTTAGTTGTATTTGTATAGTAAAACTACTGCTGCACAAACAATGATTATCCATATATTATCCGCTGGTAACTCTACTCCATCGGCTATCTTTTGAAATACAGGTGGTAGTTCTATTTGGTTGTTTACCAACTCACTGATCCGCTTATCGAGCTTTTCTGTTGTGTCACCTACTTTCCACAATATGTTTCTAGTTGATGCTACCAGTCCTATGATTACAGCTGATGAGGAAATTAGAACGGCTGATAAGATGCCTGCATTCTCCCTTGCCCATAACCTGAGCCACTGCAGTCTCCTAAGATCATCCCGTTTAATGAGATCCCTCTTTTTCACCTTATCTCTTAAGTTGAGAAGTTTATTTAAGTTTGACTCTCTTTGGTAATCATTTGATAGCATTCTGACGTATCTCAGTTCTTCCGACTTTTCTTTAAAACTGTCTTCGTCTAAATTCGATAGTATTATTTCATTTAACAGTCTGTCTCCCCTATACATTAGATCATCGTATGACAGATTAGATAGGTCAGGGAATTTCTCAGCTAATTGCTCTCTCGTAAGGTCCTCGCTCAGTATTTTTCTCCTCCTCAGTTCCTGTACGTAATTAATTTCCTCGTTAATATCCTGGGTCTCCTCAGTAGTTTCGCTTTCCCTAAGATCCTTGTCAAGGTACGGTAATTCACCATCTAAAGTTTCTATATCCATTCCTTCATAGTTTGGATACTTTTCCTTCAACTCCTCCATTTTCTGGTCATCGTATTCCTCTTGGTGTTCCTCCATAGCTAATTTACTTTGTGTAATAGTTGTATACCATTAAGGCTGCAGCTATAGCTAATACCCATAAGTGTGACGCTAACCAGCTAATTCCTTTGGCTCCCCATGACAGCGCTGTTGCAATGGTGTTCAGGATTGGAACTAGAATTGGTCCTGCTTTCTTTGCTAAATTTGCTAATGCTTTTGCTACTTTACCAGTGGCCTTTGCTGTCTTCACAATGGCTCCCCTAGCATGGATTAATAAGGCTGTAATAAAACTAGCTGTTGACACTGCTATCCCTACAAGTCCCACCTTTTCCTTTCCTACCCAGTCTATAAATCTGCGTAATCTAGAAATATCTTCCAACTGTGCCTCTCTTGCTTCCTCCACTGTTCTCTGCTCTAGTGTTCTATCCCTAGCTTCCTTTAGACTGTCAATTCTTTCTATAAGGGAATTATACTCAGTTGTACCTTCCGCTGACGTGGAGCGTTCCACGGTTTCACCGATAGCCTCATTAAAGTAGTCAGCCTGAACTTGTAACGCTCCATTGGGACCTGTTCTGCCTTCTATGCTTGATCCATCAAGTGGGTTAAGAACACCTCTCAGTTCATTGTTTTCTTGCATTGTTAGCCCTGGAAGATCTCCCATTTTTGCACCTATGTCTATTAACTCAATGTTCTCACGGTCAGCGTATTCCTCATCACTGTCATCAAATTGGGGCTCTTCTTTAGTATCCTCGTAAATTGATTCATCACTTCCAATTATATTGTCGGGATTCGTAGGTACCTCTTTTATTTTCTTTAGAAGGTCCTTATATTCTCTCAGAGCAGGTGAGTCCTTTGAGTACACGGGAATCTTGGTCTTACCACGTTTCATTATTTGTGTGCCACTTTTGTCAATACCTTGTTTACTTCTAAATACCAACACCTCTGTGCCATCCTTGAGTGTTCTTACAGATGATCGTTTTATGAGTTCCCTGACATATTTATTCTTAGGGTCAAGAATTAGTCCCTCCTTACCTTTAATAACTCTCGCGACAGCTTGAACACGCTCCACTTGGTTTTCGAAATCTCTCTTTTTATTTGCTGTGAGCCGGTCTTCTGAGAACTTTTTCAGTTTCTCTAGGCGGGCTTCTATTTCGTCCCAGTCAGCGTCAAATGATTCGTTGAATGCATCTAGCACATCTGGAAGTACATTGTTTGGGTCTTCCACAAAGTTGACTTCTGGGACGGTTGTGCTTCCTGATGGACCTGAAATGTTCACTGTACCATCATTTCCTTCAGTGAAAGTTGTTTCTTCTATTTCACGTCTCTCCATGAGATTCTTCACATAGTCCAGTTCACTTTTAAGATTGGTTATCACTATAGGATCATCACCATACATAGCCTCTCCCTTCACCTTTGTATCTAACCTACTAAAAGCTGTTGTTAGGTCATCATAATTAAGGTCGTCATATTGAGGAAAGCTTTTTTCTGTCTCCTCCAACTCAATGTCATCGTAGTCCTCCATAATACTTTAACTTATGTTAGGGACTTGATGTCTCCAGCTGGTATCCAACTGTTAAATTTGTCATCATAACCTAACCACTTAACAAGGGCCATCTTTTTACCCTTCACTGTTCTTCTTCTTAGTACTTTCTCTATTCTGAAATCAGGTTCTCTTCCTTCAGCGCTATATAGTTCTTGTTCATAGAACCTACCAATTATTGGTTCATCAGCACTGTCTTTTATTGTGTACGTGTTTGGATGGCCGTGATACACTTCCGTCACAGTGAACAACTCCTCTGTGAAATTTGCTTCGTACCCTTTTGTGAACACTGATTTGTACTTTGAAATTCTAACACTTTCTCCGACAGCAAACTTTGGTTCCGACGGCTTGCCTAAATTGTGACTAAAAAGTGTCTTCCATACTTCAGTCCAATTGGACTCATTTACACTGTCTGGTGTTGTTTTAATTGATCTGTTTACTGAACTGTTGTAATTATCAGTTAAGTCTTGAAGGACGTCTAACCATTTATATGTACTGGCACTGTAGAAGTACTTCCACATTAGTGCTTTCAATGTTCTGTTAAATCTTTCCACAACTGCGGCCTTTTTGTCTGAGTAAGTAGAGAAAAATTCAATGTTATGTTTATTGAGCAATGACTTTACTTCTTTGTTGTAGAACTCTGTACCCTGATCAAACTGGGCGAATTTTGGGTATTTACCAAAACGATTATTAAATTGCTCTAAAATGTTACTGACTGCATCCTTCATTGATGTCGCGTTTTTTCTATACACTGGTACTGTGAATGCGTACCTACTTACACGCGTAAAAACGCTCAGGTTGATGCAATACTGATGAAAACAGGACTGAACAATGTT